CTTCATAGAAATTCTTAAACCAGTTATAATTTACTCTATCATCTATAGATCAGAACTTAATAAACATTAACACACAATTTAGAATTAACATAGCGTTTTACCACATTCGTTTTTATAAATATTATTTATATACTCCTTATATTTTCCCTTGAATTGTGCAATATTTTTACTTGGCTTAATTTCATCATCTAAACCACTCCACAAACCGATGTGCACATACTTTTAAGAGTGCTGCGTACACATGGTTGCAATAGATGACCCTTCCCTCTCAGTTCATACCTTCTCTCACTGATTTTAAATAAACTTTGAATACTCCTTGGAAGCATATTGTTTCTAGCTTTAAACATCACCTGTTCAGTTGTAAATTGTACCAAATCCATACATTTCATAAGTTGTGATTTAAAAAACAGTGGATTTGTATGTTCCCGATGCCAAACATTTGTGTATCATTCTTAATGCTCTTTTTTGTAGTGCACATATTTTTTGTAAAGAGCTTTTATATGTGTTACCCCAGACTTCAACACAATGCTCTAAATATGGCAATAACATAGTACAGTAAATAGTGTGCATAGTTTTGTTGTTCAAAMTATGTCTTGTTCTTTCTAATATCCCTATAGTTTTTGACATCTTATTACAAACATGTTTGATATGGTGTTTCCAACATAACTTGTGATCCAAAATCACACCTAGAAACAAATGTGGTATGCTTTTCTGTGGGACATCTTCAGCAACAGATTCGAGAGTTCATGACGCCCCTGAAGCCTGCAGCAGTCAGGATTGGAAGGAATGAAAGTGGAAACAGAACAGGTGTGTTTTATTTTAAGGATGATTGTGCTGGAGTCACCTACAGTACATGTTGTTTGTTTTAATGACAAAAAGAACCAAATGTCAGAACTCTGTATGTTTCAGGTTATGTTTATGTGGACCTGCACTCACGGGAAGAGGTGGAAAAAGCTTTGAAGAAGAATAAAGACTATATAGGTGAGGAGTAATGACTTTAATTTTGGGGTGGCTGTGGCGGAGTGGTTAGGGGAGTCATCCTGTGACCGAAGGGTTGCCAGTTCGATACCCCGTTCCAGGTGGTTGGCGCCGGTGTATGGCAGCCCCAGGGCATATGTGTAGCTCACCACCATCGGTGTGTGAATGGGTGAATGTCTGTAGTGTAAAGCGCTTTGGGGTCCCCATGGGGCTTGATAAAGCACTTTATAAGTTCATTCCATTTACCATAATAAWGAACATGTGAATAAATTAGGTGAATATTTTTATGAATCTTTTATTTGTTGATGTAACCGATGAAATGAATCACCTGGCTTGTAGAAATTTCATTAACCCAGTTTATTAAAAGGTCTACTAACAATCATGAGAAAGTACAGGATATGTAAATTTAAATAAATGTATCCAAATGGACATTTAAAATTGCTGATAAAAAATAATTATCTGGTTATTTTTTTGGAGAAAAAAGCTTATTTATCTACAGTTGACATTCACCCCTTGCTTAGGAGAGTTTAAAAATAATTAACTTTCTGAAAAATGGAAGGAGAATAATTAAGAAATATCTGCCAGGATTTATGAAATGTTTTTAACCTTTCTACAGAAATGTTTGTACTTTATTGATAGTGACTTTGTCGTTCAGAATGAATATTGTCTGARCCTCCTCAGTTTAAGTGAAATAATTTACCAGTAAAGGCTGGTTTATACTTCGAGTCGCACGTCGTTTCTCGTGCTGAGTGACAAAAAGCTTGYTTAGTATATCAAACTCAAAACAAGATCAAAAATACTTTTTAGCAGGAAATAAGATCGTAAGAATTAGAAGGACACATTTTTGCAGTGTTTTTGAAAGGGCTGCTAAATGTAAAAAAGTGTCTTTAAAAAATATTTAAAACATTTTAGAAATGTCCAACTTGTGTTTTTTTTTTTTTTGTTGTTGTTACTCTCCACCTTTGTGTCTCATCATCTTGGTTAAAGTGTCGTCTTGTGTTTCAGGGGGACGTTACATTGAGATTTTCTGTGTTGATTCTTCTTGGCGAAAGCAAAAGATGGACAAAAAGGGTAAAGAAATTGACAGAAACTTCACCAGGAAGCTGAAGGAGGATGAGGAGGAGGAGGATGTTTCTGAGTCCGGTCGACTCTTCGTCAGAAACCTTCCGTACACCTGCACAGAGGAAGAGTTCAAAGAGCTTTTCACTAAACACGGTAAACTGTTGGCACACAATTCACTGAACATTTGAWCCTTCACAAAAATGAATTCACTCTTATTTCTAAATGTCACAGGTCCTTTATCTGAGGTGCTGTTTCCCATTGACAACCAAACAAAGAAACCTAAAGGATTTGCATTTGTTGCCTACATGATACCAGAAAATGCAGTGAGAGCTCTGGCTGAGTTAGACGGTCACATATTTCAGGTATTTATTTCTGACTTTTGAATATATCTCTGCACCGGTTTGTCGCAATAAAAAGTCACGGGTGCAGTTTGATTTCTGCTCAGGCCGATGCATGATTTGTGTTTTTTTGCKATTTCAGGGCAGAATGCTTCACGTTCTTCCCTCCACCGTGAAGAAGGACAAATCTGAATCCTCGGATGCTGGTGGTCCAGGCTCCTCYTCATTCAAACGACAAAAAGATGAGAAAAATAAAGCTTCAAGTTCCAGGTATACATAATGAGATGTTTGTTTTATTTTTTTATTTTTTAAATCTGCATACTGTCGCTGTTTTGATTCACGTGTTAATTTTCTCCTTTTATCRAGCTCGCACAACTGGAACACTTTGTTTCTGGGCACGAGTGCGGTGGCAGACGCCATTGCTGAGAAATACAACACAACCAAAAGCCAAGTTCTGGACCACGTGAGTGATTYTTACATCTGGAGCTGCTGCAGCACCATGTGAGTTTTTACATTTTTTTACCTTTACGTTTCCTCCACAGGAGTCAAAGGGAAGTCTTGCAGTCAGGGTGGCTCTGGGAGAAACTCAGATTGTCGAGGAGACGCGACAGTTCCTGCTGGACAACAGTGTCTSTTTGGACTCTTTTAGTCAGGTAGATTTTAGACAAACTGCACATTTTTATATCTGTGCCTTTTATCTTGATAAGTGATTCAAGACCTTGTTTCATTCTACAGGCAGCAGCAGCGAGGAGTACAACCGTGATCCTGGTCAAAAACCTCCCCGCCGGAGTGACGGCATCAGAGCTCGAAGAACTCTTCTCGCCTCACGGCTCTTTAGGGCGAGTGCTGCTGCCGCCTTCTGGACTCACCGCCATCGTCGAGTTTTTGGAGCCAACTGAGGCCAAACGAGCTTTCACAAAGCTGGCTTACAGCAAGGTGTGTGTAGCTGCTACCATAACCGTGCTCGATCAGTGACCCAGTGACTAATTAGGATTTMTCTGTCTTATTGTTCTCTGTAACCCTAGTTCCAGCATGTCCCACTGTATTTGGAGTGGGCGCCTGGTGGGGTGTTTGTAGCAGCCAAACCAGAGCCAGGTGAAGCCAACAACATGACCATCTTTTATGTCTTTTTGGGTTTTACAAATTAAAACATGTTGAATTTCTCTGTTTACATATTAGACAAAAAGGAGGCAGTGAAAGAAGAGGAAGAGGATGAGGACGAGGAGGAAGAAACTGTTCCAGGCTCTACACTTTTCATTAAGAATCTCAGTTTAAGCACAACAGAAGAGGAACTACAGGAGGTAGGTCAACTCATATCTCAGCGCTTACATTTAGTCAGAGTTTCCACAGATAAATGTTTTCTTCTTTTCTGCAGGTGTTCTCCAAATGTGGCAAAGTCAAATCCTGCAGCATCACAAAGAAAAAAGATAAATCAGGTACTTCACATCAAAACCAAAATCAAAAGATACTGAACATTGATGTATAGAAGCTTTACATTTATTAAAACAAGATTCCAAGGTGTGTAATTTGTTGCAAACTGGGTTTTCATTCAGCAGCTAAACTCACTGACATTGAGTTTCCCACCCTGCTAATGAGGATGCTAACAATCACACAAAGTCTGAAAAATTAAATGTTAAATTATGTAAAAACTTTTCAACATGTTTGCTAGATTCCCAAACGTCAGCTTTCTATTAAGCTGTGTCACACCCACATCAAATGTTAGATCGAATCTTTTAAGCATTTGAAGAATGATTTTTGTCCTGTTTGTCTCTTTCTCTGCATTTGTTCAGTGTTTTCAGTAATAATAATAAAAAATCTTTCCTGCATTGATGTTTTAACTTCCAGGTAAATTGTTGTCAATGGGTTACGGTTTTGTCCAGTATCAGTCAGCAGAGGCGGCACAGAAAGCCCTGAGGCAGCTGCAGGTATCAGCACCAGGCCCTCAGTGAAATGTGAAATGTAAAATGTGAATTTTGACTAATGTGCCGTTGTCTCGGTCCTCCAGCACTGCGCTGTGGRTGATCACCAGTTAGAGGTGAAGATTTCTGACAGAGCCACAAGGTGAGTTGTGAGTTAAAAACTGGGTTAAACAAACAAAGTGTAAGACGTTGAAACTGTGGGTCAGAGTATTTTTCCACGCGTCACTCTTTCTGTTGCAGAACCACAGAGGTGTCGCGCAAAAAGAAGCAAGCTGAGAAAAAGCAAACTGGTTCCAAGATTCTCGTGCGCAATGTTCCCTTCCAAGCTACTGTCAGGGAAATTCGAGAGCTCTTTTGGTAGCAGTCACACATTTACACATTTGTTGTTGTTTTTTATTACACGGTGTGCTAAGTGCTTTGGAGATGATTTCAGGAATTTAATGTTGAKATTTCTTCTTGTCTTTGCAGCACGTTTGGCGAGTTGAAGACTGTTCGTCTTCCTAAGAAAACAGCTGGTTCAGGGAAGCACAGAGGCTTTGCCTTTGTTGATTTTCTCACCAAACAGGAGGCTAAGGTTTGTGTGTGATCTGTTGTTTTTTTATTTCAAAGTATCAAACACTTAATGTTTAATAAACTGATACCCCAAGTGGTAACAATGAAAGACTTTCTGTTTTTTTTTTCTTTTTTTCCCTGTAGAAAGCCTTTGCAGCTCTCTGCCACAGCACCCATCTGTACGGGAGACGTCTTGTTTTGGAGTGGGCTGACACTGAGGACACCGTGGAGACACTGAGAAGGAAAACAGCTGAACATTTTCATGGTGAAGCTTCCTGGTTTATTAACAAACTATAGAACATAATTAATTTTTAAAAAGCTAAATTGTTACTAATATTTTTTTTTTTTTTTTTTTGCTTTAATGTTAGTGGTTGCCAAGAAGCACCGGAAAGCAGATCTTTTGGGAGGAATTCTGGAGACGATGGAAACCGATGGAGGAGTTGAAGACTAAAGACTTTTATTGTTTCCATGCTTTGGAAAAAAAAATCAAAATTACAAAACTAATCAGTGTTTCTCTGTTTTGTATGACTAGTACTAATATAACAGCAGAAGGCAATTCAGTGTGAATTTGTCAACAAATGGAATGGATTTTTTTTTTTTAATTTTCTGTGTTGCTTTGTTTTGTACTGGAAAACATTGCAAAGATAAATTATGTGTCAATGAGTTTTTATTAAAAAATACAATATAGTCGTAAAGCTTTGCCTCTTATGTGCTCAGTTTTTTGTTTTTGTAAAGTAGGTTGTAAAGTACTTTTATTTTGAAAGGACTGTGTTTATCCGGTCACGGGAAGATCAGGTGATAAGCCATCCGCCGAGTCACGTGACAGCACTGTAGCGTCCAACATGGCGCACAGACTGACTGTTTTGTGTTTAATGGTGCTGTGTTCGTTTGTTGGAGCAGAAATACGAACAGTGGTTTTAGACAAACGGAGCGGAAAGCTGTCTGTCGTCGAAGGGTTTCAGGAGGACTTTGTAGCCTGGGCAAACTTTACAGACAGCATCAAAACAACAGGGTGAGAGGAAGTTTACTACTTTCGTTCAAAAATCAAAAGAACTTATAAAGTAATACATTTTAATCTGYGCTCACATTTGGAATAGTAACACTCATGTTTATTGGTGATGAAAATGCATTGAAAAAAACTAGATGAAATTAAATTGTTCTGAAAAATAAAGTTACAAAATTAAATAGTTTTAAAAATTGTGTTGCTGATAATACGAGGCCATTTACAAAATAACATTATACAACAGATAATTAGTTTGTGAAAGGCAGAGGAATTTACTTCATTTACACATTGAAATAATTATTTTTCCTCTTGTCACCTAATCTACTGTATGCAGAGGTTTCAAAACTATTTTATACCCCTCAGACTATTATTGTTGGTATGGTTTTGTAAAGCATCCTTATGTCTGCCAAACTGCTTAAAGTTATATAGTTTTCAATTATGTAGTATTTTTCAACACCTCTGTGGTGTACCACTTGAGAGGCTTTTTTATGCCTGAATGAGGTTGGAGTTACGTGACAACAAACTACAATAAAAAATGATAAATTTAGCTATAGTTATAGAAACTATTAAACCTTTTAAAAAAGTAAAATAATGCAATGAAGTCTTGCTTTCATTGCAGTAATTAAAAAAACTGAGAGACGTTGACAGTACTAAACAAGACAATTTTATTGTTTTTCTTTCGTCATCTATTATTGGCATTTTATTCTTTCTTCTTCTTCTTCTTCTTCTTCTTCTTCTTCTTCTTAATAATAATATTACAGATGGTCCTTCCTGGAGATCACCACCAGCAGTAAATACAATGACAGCCTTCAAGCATATGCTGCTGGTGCAGTCGAAGCTTCAGTTACATCTCCTGTAAGTCACATGTAATCAAAGGTTAAGATTATTTTACTTTTTTGTATTTAATCTATGGATGTGGCATGYTGTTGTTTCAGCTCATTTATAATCACTGGATGAACACTTTGGTGAATTACTGTGGGCCCTTCAAGTCTGAACCTGGTTACTGCGAGCGTCTAAAGGCTTTCATCACAACCAACCTGMGGTGGATTCAGACGGCAATAGAGTCAGAACCAACATCACCCTACTGGTACCAGGTACTGAGACATCTGTAGATCTTATTCTGAGATATTTATGTTGAACTCAACATAGAGAGGGAGGGCTAGTGGGAGAGGGAGAGAGGGAGGGAGGGAGAGAGAGAGAGAGAGTGGGGGGAGTGCTAGTGGGAGGGTCAGGGAGAGAGAGACAGAGAGAGAGAGAGAGAGAGAGACAGAGAGAGAGAGAGAGAGAGAGACACGTCAACCGAAACGTAACATAGGTGTATCGACGGTGGAACAGAATCTCTCTCTCTCTCTCTCAGAGGCAGAGATAGACAGAGTCTCTCGCTCTCTCTCTCTTTCTCAGAGGCAGAGTCTCTCTCTCTCTTTCTCAGAGGCATAGATAGAGTCTCTCTCTCTCTCTCTCTCAGAGGGAGAGAGTTATTCTGAGGGTTATTCTGCGTTTTAGCATTTGTTTTGCTTCTCAGGTGCGTCTGGTGCTTCTGCAGCTGAAGGGTCTTGAGGACAGCTACCATGACCAGCTGTCATTTCCAACAGGAACCATTTCACTCAATCCATTTGGCTTCCTGTAAGCTCTTATTTTTTATTTTACAATAAACAAACACTTATTGAGATGAAAAACTACATGTTTTGATGTCGTCTCACATGCGCCACTGCTTGTTTTTCCAACCAGACTTTTCCAAATGGGTGGGGATCTGGAAGACTTGGAAGCGGCTCTAAATAAATCCAGTAAAACTCAACCCCTTGGATCTGGTTCCTGCTCTGCGCTCATTAAGCTGCTGCCAGGACATAAGGATCTGCTGGTGTCACAAGATACCTGGGCAACCTATCARTCGATGCTGCGCATTATGAAAAAATACAACTTTGCTTTCAAAACCTCCCCTTTGGGTAGTTCAGAACACACACACTGCACCTGCTCATCATTAATCCAAGTCTTTAAAGCAAAATATTTTGTTATAATAAGRCAAGATATTGTGTTAATCGGTATTAGAGAGACTGGCTTTTATCGATGAACGTAGCCCTTCTARTCTGATTTTTTTAATGTGTGTATATTGACTCTATTGTGTATACCAACTAATTGAAATTTTAAAATATTTTCTTAAGTTTTTAAAAACGTTTTTTTTTTACCTACAATTTGAAACAAAATGTGAAACCCTCTTTGCAGACAATAATCCACTTCCTGGAGGAATTCAGGCCTTCTCATCTTACCCTGGAACAATCTTTTCTGGGGATGACTTCTACATCCTTAGCAGTGGCTTGGTAAGAACTGTTTGTGCTGGAGATAATGAAACATTTGGAAATCTATGAAAACACACACACACAAACGCACACACACAAAACAATTACATGATGTGGTTGTGGAGTATCATTACTTAATGCGTTATGTGTCCTCAGATTACRTTGGAAACCACCATAGGGAACAGCAACGTTGACCTCTGGAAGTTTGTTCATCCTACAGACTCTGTTATGGAATGGCTGCGGAACATTGTTGCTAATCGACTAGCTTCTACTGCTAAAGAATGGGCAGAGMTATTTAAAAAGTTCAACAGCGGAACGTGAGTGTTAAAAATTAAATATGCTTTTTTTAAAGACTTATTCTATTTGTCACATTTTAATCTTTCAGGGTAATTACAGGTTAAAACGTTTTAGTTTTATCCAGTTTACATAAATACAGCAAAATTATACAGTTGTTTCCTTGTGAACAAAACATTTAATAAAACACATCTGTAAATTGTCTATAAATGTGAACAATATTGTGCCGTGGACTAATAAGAAATAAAACAGACAGGCTGTTTATTTCTGAGTCACATGATGCTTGTGAGGTCAGTTGGGTCTTCAGGCTCATCGGGATGTTCACTGTGGAATGCTGAATCAATCACGAGCTTAGAGCAAATAAACGTTTGAACACTGGGTAGGTCAAAGTTTATAAATGCATTTCAGTCTGTTTTGTTTGGGCCTTCTGTAGATACAACAACCAGTGGATGATTGTGGATTATAACCAGTTCWCTCCAGGAAAGACTGACTTGGAAGAGGGTCTTTTTGTTGTGTTGGAGCAGATCCCGTAAGTTTTGCACCAAAACTTAAACCTGTACAGATGAATTATTCAAAACCTTTTCATAGATTCTGGTGCTCCTTCACTGCTGCTGATCGATTTCAAATGAACACGTCTCGTACCTCTACAGAGGACTTGTTATCGCTGAAGATAAAACTAAGGAACTGACGGAGAAAGGATACTGGGCCAGTTACAACATACCGTAAGATTGCAGTAACATTAAGCAATGTGGACATYTGCATCATCGATTACTCGTTCTGAAGAAGTCTTTATAGTTGTGTTCTTCTCATGTATGCTCATTTGTAGGTACTTTAAAGACATATTTAATATCAGTGGCTACAACGAGCTGGTCAAGAAGTATGGCTCATGGTTTACCTTGGATCAGAATCCACGTGCTCAGATTTTTAGGAGAAACCATACACTTGTTACAGACTTGGACTCCATGGTTCGCCTCATGAGGTATACAAATTTTCACACTTTCTATTGGCTGACATTATAATTTTGCCATAATAATGAGATGCACTGTTACCTCTTAGGTATAATAACTTTAAAGAAGATCCATTGTCRAGGTGTGAGGAATGTAATCCACATGGGAATGGAGAGAACGCAATCTCAGCCCGTTCAGACCTGAACCCAGCTAATGGAACTTATTCTTTTGGAGCCTTAATGCAGAGATCACATGGAGGAATAGACATGAAGGTTTGTATTTTATATTTCCAAATTTATACACACACTGCTCTGTATCACCTTTTCAACAAAAAGGTGTTTGTGTGTGTGTGTACTTGTTTATGATAGCTGGTGGGGACGATTTTTGACCATTTTCCTGGTACACACAGCCTGGTGAGGACCCACTGTTCCCTATGGGGACGAAAGCCCAGTCCYCACCAGGAGAAATACCGTTTGTGGATCAGGGGTTTGGTTAGGACGAAGCTATGAATTGAGTTTAGGTTAGGTTTAGGGTAAGGGGTCAAGGTTAGGTTACAAAAATGACCAGTAAATTAATGGAAGTCAATCTAAAGTCCTCATGAGGATAGAAGAACAAACGTGTGTGTTCGAAATGAAATGACGGGACGACTTTTTTTATTTGTTTTTGTGATGCATTCTGTATCTGTGCAGGTGACGACCTATGAAATGTACAAAGAGTACGTCATGCTGGCAGTGAGTGGGCCAACCTGGGACCAGCAGCCAGTCTTCCAGTGGAGCACTTCTCCTTACAAAGACTTGGTGCACATGGGTCACCCTGATATCTGGAATTTCAAGCCCATAAAAGTCACCTGGATGCCTTAAACGCCAAACTGGACAACACTAAGTTTTACAACTGTTAAAAACACCAGCTGCGCCAGCTGACATTTCAAACAAGGGAAATTCTAAACACATTTAAGTTTTGTCTCAATAATTAAATCTTRTGTTTGCATAATTTCAGTGTTACACCATTTGCCTGATTAAACTTGAGTCAAAATAAAAAGAATTTTGCTGTTAACATTTATTTAAAAAAATTTACAATTTTAAAAAAATTGTAATTTGTTTTGAAACGTTTTCAACTTTTTGTGATTTTAGCTACAAGCTGCAATAACTATTTATATTCAGCTGGTTTATGAATCGGTCTCGTTTTGATTTGTAGGATTATGCAATAAATGTGATCTTTTAAAAAGATTTAATTCAAATGGTACAATGTTTTGATTTTGTAATTTTTAACAAATCGTGTTTTTTAAATAAACAATGCCTTTGAGTTTAAACAGTTGTAATACTCCTACATTTTGTATGAACTGTTAACTCTATATTTGTGTGGAAAAACTGAAAAAGTGACTCAGTCTATTGCAATTAATACCAATTTTGCTACTTTGGCCAGAGAAACAATTTTTCAATGCAAACTGAGTGTGGCTGTTAAAAGGTTKWAAAAAAAGAAATGAAAATATATGTAAAAGCAGGCTTATAATAAAATGTGTGTGAAAGCACTTTGGTTAAAAAAAAGACAGGAAAAGTGCTACACAAGTTAGTGTTGGGCATAATTGTGTCATGTGCAAATAATCGTCAGAAAAAAAATTATCGATTATTTTTGGCACTTTATGATTAATACGATTAGTGCCACCAGGCAGAGTTCGCTCGGTGCTCCTCTCCGCTTCCAATGACAAACATAAAAAAAGTTCTGTAACTTATTTATCTATCAACACAATTTAAAAGTTGATGTATATCCTGAAGTCTGTAATTTTGATACAGTTTGGGACAGATTTTTCCGAAGAGCAAATCTTTCCCATTAAATTGGTCATGTGACTAAGACATAAGGGGATTAATCGTGATTTAATTTTTTTGCCAGTGTTGTCCAACCCTAATACAAGTACAGTAGTTTATTTTTACAATTTTAGGATCAAATTGTATGTGTTATTCAAGAAAACCCAGTAAACCAAATCAATGAAATCCCCAACTCTATTCAACTCAAAAACACTTTATTAAATGACRTAATCAACTATTATCATATGTTCTTCCCCTTCGGTGGCATATAGAGGAATGTTCTCTGCTTCTGTGTCAACTGCAGGATCTGTCACAGCTAAAAATGTCTCAGGGAGGTCTTCATGAAAGTTTTCACGACTTATGAAAAAGTCAGGATTTAGCTGGTACATGTGCCACATAGCTATGGCTTTGTGTGGGCAGGACTTTCGTGCCTTCATGCAAGGGCAATGCCAGGTATTTAGGACGCCGTTGTAATGGACCATGAGCCTTCCCAATCTGGAGTGTGAGGAGACGCGTGGCTCAAACACAGAAAAAAAGTGCTGTCCTTCTTCTTGCACAAGATTCACTTCATAACTCAGCAGCGCACCATCTGCATCAGCAGCAAACTTCCTTCTCAGACAACCTTTCTCTGTGTTCTTGCTGAACCACTTGTTGATGACCATCTCGGCTAGAATGTCTTCATCAAGTAAAACGGGTAAATCAGTGGGAACAGGACTGAATATCAGTGACTGAATATGTTGGCATTCAAARCTTATTTGGCCACTTCTGCGTGCATAATCATATAATCTGTTGCATGCATCCAATTGACAGGTGATCCGTCGCTCCTCACCCCAGGTACACTTTTGGACATGAATGTAATGGGCAGGTCCCTTGAACGTCTTTAAAACTGCAAAAATGCCCCTCTTTTTGTCAACACACACAGACTGTAGATAGTGATCGATGGAGATGTTTGGCATTTTTGTCGAGTGATGTCTATGGATGTGTACTTTCAGGTTCTTTTTATGCATTACCAAGTTGCAAAAAGAACATCTGGTTTTCGTGCATTTTGACAGCAATATTTTGTTTGGTTGACCATTTGTCTCTAATGGTGGACCCCTCATCTTCGCTGGTGGACCCCTGGTCTCAGCTGGTGGACCCCTTTTCTCCGCTGGTGRAGCCCTYGTCTCAGCTGGTGGAGCCCTCGTCTCAGCTGGTGGACCCCTTGTTTCTGCTGGTAACAATGGTAGACACTTTGTCTCCAATGATGGACCACTTATTTCCAGTGGTGGACCCCTTGACTCCTCTGGCACTGCTGGTGGAACTGTCACTGCCATTGCTTGTTGTTGACCAAGGCACTTTTTAAAGTGATTGGTGAACGTATCCTTTCTGATGATAGATTTGGGGCAAAAGCCACAATGATAGTGGCTTCTGGCCTCACAAGCCAGGTGGCATTTGTAGACACTATATCCTAAAAGGATCACAGAAAAACATTTACAAGATACCAAGGATATAAACAGTTTTGTTCATGCATGTATTGATAAACAGCATTTTCAAAGCAATAACTGTCAGAAAATTATTATACATCATCAGAGGGTCTATGCATAAAACYAAGTAGTATGCAGACTGAATGACTGAGCATCAACCTGTGCTAATATTAAAAAAAATGTTTCAAGCACTATTGACAGCTCAGAAGACCTATATAAGGAATGTGACAGCACACAAACMTAGTAATTAAGAATTTGAGCTCACAATGTCTGAGTGAAAACTCATTTGAAGAGGCACAGAAATACCTAGAGAAACTGCATTTCCTGCAAAAACACTAGTGTTAGCCTATTGCTGAAAACTTTAGCTGAAAGCTGATGAAATGGAGCTGAAAATGGTTGATAGCAAAGCTGAAGAAGCATAAAAAAGTTTAACTTAGCAGAATAAAAGCTAAAAAGATTAAAAAATTGCTGAAATAGCAAAAAAAGCTACAATTAGCATAAAAACAAGCTAAAGGTAGCAGACACAAGTTGAAATTAGCACCCAGATGATGAAAGGATACAAAAATATCAAA